ACAACAAGTCTCTGTAGAAACTATACATGAATCATTGGAGAAGCAGGCTAGCGAAAATGAAACAACTTTTCTTTTCGATCCATAATTTTGACCTCTTTAAAACCAGTTCAATCAAAACTCCAATACCCACTCGAATTTGGATCAAACTATAGCTGTAAGCAAACAGATTGGAGAAAGGTAGTTTGGTTCAAGTTTGGGGCTATCAGTGAAATTCTGAATTATGTTTTGCTGTTAATTGTATCAAGAAACTGCAAGGGAATTTTATTCCTGATGATAATGCAACCAGCATTAGCACTTTTGATGGCAAAGGCAGTGGAAGTAGTGGCAGCAATAGAGTGGAAGTGGTGGTGCCAGTAATGTCGGTCCCACCACATTTACCAGGCATAGAAGACAATGTATAGGCACCACTGATTTTCTTTTGAAGTTTCTCTTGAAACATGCATGAAGGCTGCAACTGCTGTTTTATTTTGATTTCTTTTTCTCTGCGCATAACCCTACAGTATTTGATAATTGATAGTAATAACAATACTTTTGAATTTATACAACAGTAGCTGTATTTTACAGATAATGATACGTACCATACCTCGTATCCATTGTTTATAGCTGCTAAAAGATGATTTTGATATCTAAATATAATTCGCTACAACTTTCCTCTATCTAATGCTAGTGTCGGCCTTCTAATCCCAATTTCAACTCTTAGCCCAACTAGAATTTAAAAAAAAGAAGAAGAAGGGGGATTGTAACAAACAGATGCCCACAAGGCTTAGCAAACTGAATAAAGAAAAATTATACAGAAATGGACTAACCGAAACAAGTCATTAGTACTCAAAATAAGCATCAGAAACACCAATTTTCCAGAAATTAGACTGTATGTAAGAAGACTAGTTAAAATCAGGCCCGAAATATGTTCTCTTCATTATCAATTTGGATGCGTGACAACATCCAGTTGTGTAACTAGTGATGGCCGTACCTCTGGTTGTTCTTGTTGCTGCAGGGGCTGTGAGTGATCACCTTGCCATGTCCAAACAATGTCCTTTAATGATGGCCTTATGTCCTGCTTCATCATCTTCTGATATTCCAGTGTGTCTCCATTGGATTTCTTCATCTCGACTAAATAAAAACTTGGAGTAACCTCAAAGATTTCTGCATCTATAGACAAAACTCCCTTCCTGCCTTCCTTTGATCCTTCAAATTTTAACAATCCTCCATCCTTCTTCGATGCTTTCAGATTTAGACGCTTTGCTACTTGCTCTAATTTGGAGACGATGGTCTTGGAAGGTTGCTTAGATGTAAAACGGGCTTCTTTCTTTTGATCATTTTCCTCGAACAAGCTGGACAAGTCAAAACCGGGTGAAAGGGAGATGATATCGAAGGCATTCAAGTTTGTATGCGTTGCAAAATCTAGTTTCACACCTGTTGTGCTCTTGTTCTCCACAAAACTGAACATTGTTTCAGCATCAACTACTGCTTTTTTTACATCCATGTCTTGAATCAGAGAATCAGCACTACTTTTCGTGACTTTGGATGGGAAACCCTTACGAAACCAAAAATTTTCTATGATTTTGGATATGAAAATCCTGGTGTTTGGATTTGGATCCAGTATTTTTGAAATCAGCCTGCGAACATCAGGAGGAATCCAGTTAGGATATTTGAACTCTGCCTTGCTGATTTTTCTATACATCTCCATCAGATTTGAATCATGGAACGGGAGATATCCAGCTAATAGAACATATAAGATCACACCACATGACCAGATATCAGCTTTGGCACCATCATAGCCCCTCCTGTTGATCACTTCGGGAGAAACATAGGCAGGTGTCCCACATGTTGTGTGAAGTAAACCGTCCTGCCGCTTGGATTCCGCAAGAGCACTCAATCCAAAATCTGAGACTTTTAGGTTTCCATTTTCATCCAAAAGCAGGTTCTCAGGTTTAAGATCCCTGTGATAAACACCTCTACTATGGCAGAAATCAACTGCACTTATCAGCTGTTGAAAATATTTCCTTACAACATCTTCTTTCAGCTTCCCTTTGGCCACCTTGTTAAACAGCTCACCACCTTTTATATATTCCATGACAAAATATATCTTAGTTTTGGTGGCCATAACCTCATAAAGCTGAACAATATTTGGGTGCCTAACAAGTCTCATTACAGAGATTTCTCGTTTGATTTGATCAATCATCCCAGCCTTCAAGATCTTCTCCTTGTCAATTATCTTAATGGCCACATTCATGCCAGTCTTGAGATTTCTTGCATGGTGAACCTTGGCAAAGGTGCCTTGTCCAAGCAATTTCCCCAATTCAAACCTTTGCATTAACACACTTCCTTTATTTTCCATCTCTAAATCTACCATAACAGGTAAGAGCTAATTTTCTATTGCCCCCCACAAACAGTTTTATAGATATTTATGTCGAGAAATTAATACTCAGGAATGAAGTAACTCAACCATCTTCACAGAGGTCATGATACGAAACAATTTGTCCTCTAAAATACTTACCTACACTAGGTACTTGACTGAAAAAATGGATAGGGTTGTACGTTATCTGTCCTATCTTATCAAGGATAATATGGGGAAGCTCGTATGGAGCTTCAACCCCATCAACCTTAGAGAACGACTGTCTGTCCAGCAAGCACATTTTTCGGCATTCCCTGCAATTTCTTTCAAAGGAACCATCTTCACAGAGGTCATGATACGAAACAATTTGTCCTCTAAAATACTTACCTACACTAGGTACTTGACTGAAAAAATGGATAGGGTTGTACGTTATCTGTCCTATCTTATCAAGGATAATATGGGGAAGCTCGTATGGAGCTTCAACCCCATCAACCTTAGAGAACGACTGTCTGTCCAGCAAGCACATTTTTCGGCATTCCCTGCAATTTCTTTCAAAGAAAATACAGAAGAAGATGAGCAAGTAAAAGATTTTTTCCTCTGGAACACCTATCAAGTGAAGAAAAAGGTATGAATTCCAAATTCTTCACCGCCAAATGGATTAGATGTCCACCTGCAGATATTAGAAACAAGATATATGAATATCAAAATATTAATAACAAAAAGAAAGAATTCTTTACAGATTCCTATAAGCAGGATCACAGTAAAATATATGTCCACAGCATATAAATTTAATGCACATAGAAATATGGCAGTTAGAAGCATATTCGTTGTACCCATTCTCACCTTGAAACAATACAATTTAGCCCCTATTTGAGAATATTTTTTGGGGAAATGTATTTTAGAATAGTGATTTTCTAAGAATGTGTGGTTAAAAGATAGAGAAAAATTTTTGATTTACGTAAAAAATGAGTTTTGAATAAATGAATTTTGGAAAAAAAAGGGGGGGGGGGGGGGGGTAAAAAACCGTGTAGAGTTTTGATGTCCCCTCATGACAATAAGATGCCCCGACTCACCTTCAAAACTCCACATTCACCAAAGTTTTTATGGCCCTATATAAGATTTAGCTCTCAGTTTTGGAATGTGCATTCATCTATAAAATATAACCATCGAACATTATGATTCTGACTATACCAATACCGATAATTTTGCAAGGCTTGTTGTTTCACATAATCACGGCACCTTTCAAAACTCCTTCATATGTTGTAAACCAGTCCTTGTTGGGACATATATGGAAAATACATGCCAAGTCAAGAATCTATTCCTCATAAGGTTTGAAACCTATGTTAGAAATTACAAAAAGCTCTTCTCTACTTTGCCCATAAATTCCACAACATCAGTCTCCATTGTGTTAACATGTCTTTTTCCTTTATTAGGAGCGCCAATAGCTTTATTTCTATTTTTCAATGAATAGTAATCAGCTCTTATATGCCCATTCTTCTTACAATAATGACATACTTTCTCTGTATGTCTAGATTTTGATCTACCCCTCATCTTGACTCCCAGATTCTCTAACAAGATGCCTCATCTTCTTCTTAGATAGTAAAGCATTATAAGCCTCTTCCACATTGAGAGTATCCCAATTATAGAGAATAATATCTTTAAAAGTAACATATGATGGTGGCAACGTACACAACATCATCAAAGCCAAGTTCTTCTCGTCATACTTAACTTCCAATATCTCCAAATTGGCTACGATTTGAACATAGTTAAGTGATCATCTAATGCTGCACCTTCAAACATTCGGTGAGAATACAAGCGTCGTTTCAATTGTAACTTGCTAGTCAAATTCTTTCTCATACAATGTTGTTCTAACTTTAACCACAATGTAGCGGCATTTTTCTCCTTCATATCCTGAAGAATTTGATTTGATAGATTTAGGTGCATTTGGGATTGGACGTTTCCATCCCTACTCTGTTTCTCATTCTGCGTCCAAGTTGAAGGCATCTTATCAAAGCCAAGCAAGGCTTCCTTCAAGTCCATCTACGTGAGAAGTGCTCACATCTTCATTTGCCATATAGTAAATCTCGTGTTTCGATCTATGGTTGGCATGTGATAGCTTTGCCGCTCGAGCGCTAGGCAAGCGACAAGCAAACAACAAGTCTCTGTAGAAACTATACATGAATCATTGGAGAAGCAGGCTAGCGAAAATGAAACAACTTTTCTTTTCGATCCATAATTTTGACCTCTTTAAAACCAGTTCAATCAAAACTCCAATACCCACTCGAATTTGGATCAAACTATAGCTGTAAGCAAACAGATTGGAGAAAGGTAGTTTGGTTCAAGTTTGGGGCTATCAGTGAAATTCTGAATTATGTTTTGCTGTTAATTGTATCAAGAAACTGTAAGGGAATTTTATTCCTGATGATAATGCAACCAGCAATAGCACTTTTGATGGCAAAGGCAGTGGAAGTAGTGGCAGCAATAGAGTGGAAGTGGTGGTGCCGGTAATGTCGGTCCCACCACATTTACCAGGCATAGAAGACAATGTATAGGCACCACTGATTTTCTTTTGAAGTTTCTCTTGAAACATGCATGAAGGCTGCAACTGCTGTTTTATTTTGATTTCTTTTTCTCTGCGCATAACCCTACAGTATTTGATAATTGATAGTAATAACAATACTTTTGAATTTATACAACAGTAGCTGTATTTTACAGATAATGATACGTACCATACCTCGTATCCATTGTTTATAGCTGCTAAAAGATGATTTTGATATCTAAATATAATTCGCTACAACTTTCCTCTATCTAATGCTAGTGTCGGCCTTCTAATCCCAATTTCAACTCTTAGCCCAACTAGAATTTAAAAAAAAGAAGAAGAAGGGGGATTGTAACAAACAGATGCCCACAAGGCTTAGCAAACTGAAAAAAGAAAAATTATACAGAAATGGACTAACCGAAACAAGTCATTTAGTACTCAAAATAAGCATCAGAAACACCAATTTTCCAGAAATTAGACTGTATGTAAGAAGACTAGTTAAAATCAGGCCCGAAATATGTTCTCTTCATTATCAATTTGGATGCGTGACAACATCCAGTTGTGTAACTAGTGATGGCCGTACCTCTGGTTGTTCTTGTTGCTGCAGGGGCTGTGAGTGATCACCTTGCCATGTCCAAACAATGTCCTTTAATGATGGCCTTATGTCCTGCTTCATCATCTTCTGATATTCCAGTGTGTCTCCATTGGATTTCTTCATCTCGACTAAATAAAAACTTGGAGTAACCTCAAAGATTTCTGCATCTATAGACAAAACTCCCTTCCTGCCTTCCTTTGATCCTTCAAATTTTAACAATCCTCCATCCTTCTTCGATGCTTTCAGATTTAGACGCTTTGCTACTTGCTCTAATTTGGAGACGATGGTCTTGGAAGGTTGCTTAGATGTAAAACGGGCTTCTTTCTTTTGATCATTTTCCTCGAACAAGCTGGACAAGTCAAAACCGGGTGAAAGGGAGATGATATCGAAGGCATTCAAGTTTGTATGCGTTGCAAAATCTAGTTTCACACCTGTTGTGCTCTTGTTCTCCACAAAACTGAACATTGTTTCAGCATCAACTACTGCTTTTTTTACATCCATGTCTTGAATCAGAGAATCAGCACTACTTTTCGTGACTTTGGATGGGAAACCCTTACGAAACCAAAAATTTTCTATGATTTTGGATATGGAAATCCTGGTGTTTGGATTTGGATCCAGTATTTTTGAAATCAGCCTGCGAACATCAGGAGGAATCCAGTTAGGATATTTGAACTCTGCCTTGCTGATTTTTCTATACATCTCCATCAGATTTGAATCATGGAACGGGAGATATCCAGCTAATAGAACATATAAGATCACACCACATGACCAGATATCAGCTTTGGCACCATCATAGCCCCTCCTGTTGATCACTTCGGGAGAAACATAGGCAGGTGTCCCACATGTTGTGTGAAGTAAACCGTCCTGCCGCTTGGATTCCGCAAGAGCACTCAATCCAAAATCTGAGACTTTTAGGTTTCCATTTTCATCCAAAAGCAGGTTCTCAGGTTTAAGATCCCTGTGATAAACACCTCTACTATGGCAGAAATCAACTGTACTTATCAGCTGTTGAAAATATTTCCTTACAACATCTTCTTTCAGCTTCCCTTTGGCCACCTTGTTAAACAGCTCACCACCTTTTATATATTCCATGACAAAATATATCTTAGTTTTGGTGGCCATAACCTCATAAAGCTGAACAATATTTGGGTGCCTAACAAGTCTCATTACAGAGATTTCTCGTTTGATTTGATCAATCATCCCAGCCTTCAAGATCTTCTCCTTGTCAATTATCTTAATGGCCACATTCATGCCAGTCTTGAGATTTCTTGCATGGTGAACCTTGGCAAAGGTGCCTTGTCCAAGCAATTTCCCCAATTCAAACCTTTGCATTAACACACTTCCTTTATTTTCCATCTCTAAATCTACCATAACAGGTAAGAGCTAATTTTCTATTGCCCCCCACAAACAGTTTTATAGATATTTATGTCGAGAAATTAATACTCAGGAATGAAGTAACTCAACCATCTTCACAGAGGTCATGATACGAAACAATTTGTCCTCTAAAATACTTACCTACACTAGGTACTTGACTGAAAAAATGGATAGGGTTGTACGTTATCTGTCCTATCTTATCAAGGATAATATGGGGAAGCTCGTATGGAGCTTCAACCCCATCAACCTTAGAGAACGACTGTCTGTCCAGCAAGCACATTTTTCGGCATTCCCTGCAATTTCTTTCAAAGGAGGAGAAAATACTGAAGAAGATGAGCAAGTAAAAGATTTTTTCCTCTGGAACACCTATCAAGTGAAGAAAAAGGTATGAATTCCAAATTCTTCACCGCCAAATGGATTAGATGTCCACCTGCAGATATTAGAAACAAGATATATGAATATCAAAATATTAATAACAAAAAGAAAGAATTCTTTACAGATTCCTATAAGCAGGATCACAGTAAAATATATGTCCACAGCATATAAATTTAATGCACATAGAAATATGGCAGTTAGAAGCATATTCGTTGTACCCATTCTCACCTTGAAACAATACAATTTAGCCCCTATTTGAGAATATTTTTTGGGGAAATGTATTTTAGAATAGTGATTTTCTAAGAATGTGTGGTTAAAAGATAGAGAAAAATTTTTGATTTACGTAAAAAATGAGTTTTGAATAAATGAATTTTGGAAAAAAAAGGGGGGGGGGGGGGGGGGTTCAAACAGGGGCTCAATGGAACTAAAACCTTATAATCAATGATCCTGTAATATCTCTATGCAAGCTAAAAAAAAGTCCCATGAGCAAATGATGGCGGCACCATACAACCGTGCTAACATTTGGAACTAAAATAAAGAATCTCACATGCTCAAATCCTACTAAGTTAAATTTTTTAAAATTATATCTAATCAGAATTGAAAAATAATATTCGTCAAACATAAATAAGAAACTCAACAGAGAAATCCGGGCTGGAAGGCCATTTCCAACTACCAGAACTTGCACTATTTTGCACCAAATTTTGCGTCAAACTAAAATTCATCTTCAACCATTACACCAAAACTTACATTAAATGAACAATGTTTAACCTTTTCTTCTCTTCTTTTATTCTTAATAATTTATTTATTAATTTGAAATATTATTTATTTATTTACTCTATAAATACATAAATTACTAAATAAATAATTACATCAAATTGAGGAAAATATTAAATTCATTAATAAATATAAAAAACATATTACAATTAGGAAAAACACTACAAAAATAAAAATATTAAATCATGCCATTAAAAAATAGTGCATTGCATTTCAAGTTTGGATATTATGATATTAGAAGTCAAAATTCTGGAAAAAAAAAGAAAAAGAAACTAGCGAGGAAAGACATTAGAATTACGAAATCCAAGAAATTGGAAATGACAGAATATTGTGAGGAGAATAAAATTTTGTTGAAAAATTTGAGTTCAATAACAAATTCAAACCTACGTTTGTTCTTTCAAAACAAACAAGTAAGAATTTTACAAAAAAAAAGAGCTCAACAACAAGATAAAGGATCTGAAAATTCATCTATTTTGTTTGGAAATTATTTTGAGGATATTAGGGGATCCAAAAGCAATCTTCCAGATTACTAAACTATGCAGTTGTTTTTATGTATCGTTTTCCTTAAATAAAATTAGATTGATGTATATATGTCGTTGTTATAATACATTTCGTGTAAACTTTAAATAATCGTGTTTGTTATAATTTATTTTAATTTTTTTGTATTCTTATTTTACTTAATTCATTAATTCTTATTTTTTACATTTAAAATTTATTTTAAATGCAAATAATAATAATAATTTATCGTATTAAAAATATATATAACACAAATGACACATACTTTTAATCAATTTATTAGGAAAATGAAAATAAAAGGTAAAATAGACTTTGGACCATTTGGTGCAAATTGAATAATGCTGCACGCAAATGGTGCGAAGTTTGGTATTGCATTAGAGTAGTTTTGGACCATTTTTTGGCGCAATTTGGTGTTTTGATGTCTCCATTGGAGATGGACCTAAGGACATCTCCAATGGATGCATCAAAACACCAAATTTGGTGCAAAAGCTCTCTAATATGGCATCAAAATTTGCACCATTTTGGTGCAAAATGGTACAAAATGAATAATATTGCACTATATTTGGTGCAACACTATTCAATTTACACCATTTCGTACCAAATAGTGCAAAGTCATATTTGTCAATTTTTTTTTTCCATTTGCCAAAGTAATTGATGGAGGCTATTTGTGTCATTTGTGTTATATATTTTTAATACAATTATTATAATTATTAATTTTATTATTATGTGCATTCAAAATAAATTGTAAATGTAAAAAATCATAAATAATGAATTAATTAAAGTAAGAATAAAAAAACTAAAATATAACAAACACAATTATTTAAAGATAACATGAAATATATTACAACAACAACATACATACATTAATCTAGGATAAAGAGGCTCACATTGCACTTATGAATTTAACATTTTTGTTAATTTAACATAATTATTTATTTAATAATTTTTTTATTTGTAAAATAAATAAATAAATAATTTTTCAAATAAATAAATTATTTAGAATAAAAAAAGAGAAGGAAATGATTAAATACTATTCATTTACTGTAAGTTTTAATATAATGATTGGAAATGATTTTTAATTTGATGCAAAATGATGTAAATTTTGATGTAGAGTTAGATATGGCGTAACAGCATTAGAATGAAAAGAAACTGAGAAACTTACTTCGATAAAAATATATCAAAGAATTTGAATTCAACAAAAAGCGTGAACTTTATTAAAACTTCAATAATTATTTGAAAATGTACCAAAATATTAGGGCTAGGGCGGGGTCATTCTTGAAACAATTCCATCTTGATCTAAAAACATTCAGTTTTGTAACTGAGAAAGCCAGCTCGCATCAATCTTTTAATGGATTAACCCCTCGAAATTGAAACATCATAGATCTTAACAGAAAAATGATTAAGAATTCTTCTTGTCTAAAACCTCCCAGAATCGAACAGCATAGATTTTGCCTTAAACAGCGATTAAATTGCATAAACAGATGCAGGGAAACCAAAAGAATGACATAAATTCACAGCGAACAAATAAAAAATTTCCAACAATATAGTTATACATGTTTCGAGATTATGCTACATATATACATAATCTAAATAGAAATTGAAGCTGAATCTCCGTACCTTGAAATTATCGAGCTTGTAACTGCAAAATTAGATTTTATATGTATGTATAGTGTGTGTATAGATCTCTGTCTCAGTTTGAGGCAAAGCAGAGATGAGCATTAGGACTTTTATACAATTTTCATGTCGACGGCTATTTTGAATTAATTGTTCCAATGGTCACTGAACTTATGTCCATATTTTTTTTTGGTCACCAAACTTTAAATATCGAGTTTTGATCATTGAACTTAGATTTATGTTTTCGATTGCTTATTAAAATTTAAAATGTTGAGTTTTGACTACTGAACTTTGAAAAATATTGTGCGTTATTCATTAGCATAAATGTTGAATTTTGAAAAATGTCGAATTTATGGTGAGTAATATATAACATTTTTCAAAATTTAGTAGTCAAAACTCAACATTTTAAACTTCAATCAGTGAACAATCAAAGACATGAATCTAAATCCAATGACTAAAACTCGACATTTTAAATTACAGTGATCTATCAAAGACATGGATCTAAATTCACTAACCATTAGAATAATTAACTCGATTATTTTATTGAAATGCCTGCCACCTGTATTATATTAGGTAATTGTCTATCATTTATATTTGGGAAAACAGAATTTTACTATCAAAATAATTTTTAAGAAACTTAACAACTGAGGGAGATACTATCACGACCAAATTGTTAGAATTGATTAATTAATATCCATACTTTTGTTAATTTAACTTATTCGTTTTCATGTATAGTTGGATGTTCAGTTTTAATTTTTTTAATTTTATTTTCGAATGTTTGCTTGATATAGATTTTTAACATTTAAAGTAGATAAAATTTGATGGATCTAATAAAATGTGTAGCTTAAAATGAAATTTGATTAATTAATAGCTTTTTAAAAGTGCCTATCGATTTTGCCGCTAATGGATTGCTTTGCTGTCAAGCATCATTACAAAAATTTTGAATTGGAAAATAATTTTCCGCCCATGTTTGAATCTTCTTATAAATTATATTTTATTTTTCTCTTTTCTATTTTTAACCACACAATTTTTTATAAAATAATATTATACGTAAATCTAAAACTTTTCTTTCTTTTGTAACTACTCTTTTTCAAAAAGAGTAGAACATACTATTCTACTCATTTTCATTTTAAAAAAACGGGGCTCAATTTCCACCTAGAAATTAATATAATTTCCAGTAAAGAATTGTTGGGATTTAAGTTTGAACCTTTACCAAAAATTTCGAAAAAGTTAAAAATAAACGCGTAACGCGTTTGATCTCAATTATTGCTTCTTCCTTTTTCCCAAGTTTGATGAGTGGTTAATTTTCACCTTAGAGAATATAAACTTCAAATACTCTTTTTTATCTTTCTTGTTTGACAACGTATTAATTTCTAACATAGGGTCTATTTGGGCCCGATTTTTTCATCCAAAAAATTGATTTTTTGACCGTTATTTCACTATTCCAACCGTCATATTTGTCTTCTTCTCTCACAGGTGAACCTCACTTTTCTCCTAACGGTCAAAAAATCAATTCTCAAAATCACTCTCAAACATGCTCTAATACTAATAACAAGAATTTAGGTTATCTTTCTTCTTCGACAATGTTCCGTATTCTATAATCTTCTTGACCCAAACATGTTTCTATTGTTTTTCTTTTCTTTTTTTTAATATATGACATAAATATTTATTTGTTATTCTGAAATTCAAATATGATTTTATTTATTTTTTATGGAAGTGTTTAATTTGGACCCGCCAGGTCGGTGTTGTGTCCCTTGTTAATATGGGACTCCCATTCGAAAGCATCTTCCAATCGTCCTTCAATTTCACTATCCAATAGGAGAAGTACACGTAATTATCTATTTTCCTGAGTCAACGTAGTTTCAAATCACTATCACACGTTTCCTTTTCTGATTGGTTAATTAGCCCAACACTGTATTGGATTCACTGGTTCTTGTTTGGTCTCTCCACGTCGTGTTTTATGATTCTGGATCTTTCTCGGACTTTTGTTTTTGTTATTTGTTACTAAATTCCAGAAAAATAACAGATATTTTTCTTGATTCGTATCGATTCCAGATCTCCCCACCGGCTTTATTTTTGTTTTTATAAACTTAATTCAAAAAAAAAAAAATAATAAAACATTTATTTGATGGTCAACTTTAAAGGAAACTTTAGATATCAACACGATTTGATTTCAACAATTTTTTGAACATTTTCAAATTACGTCATTTTAAACAATTTAATTTTTTCTAAAATAAAACCAAACTATTTTTTACAATTTGATTTGGTTTCTAACCATGATCGTAGAGGCGTAAAATAATATGTTTTAAAAAAACTGAAAAAGAAAATATTACACAAATGTTTTAAACTAATTTATTTGTCTCAATGGAAGTTTAAACTAATAAATAATATTGCGGTTTCATTTTTAGAATGAGAAAATTATTATCATAAACAAATCGTTATTTTTCTAAAGAGTCAACCGAAGCCGATTAGCAAGTAAATTTGTTGAAGCATATTGATAATAAATAGTATATCTTGAGTAAACAAATACTTTTTCTATTAAACAAATTTGAGTGAACGGTTCGATTTGATTTCAAGTGATTATCGAAACCTGTATAATATAGACCAAAATCAATAGTTTAAAATTTACATTTTTAATTCAAATTGGCGGATTGGCAATTTTTTGTTCACCCTTACCATGTCTAATAAGGTGAATTATATAATATTAACAGGGAAATTGGTATAATTGGTCACTAACCTTTGTCCATCTTGATTTTTTTGTCCAAACATTTAAATCGTGGTGCAAAAGATCCAAAACCTTTGAATTTTTAACACGATTGCTCTTTTCGGATCGATTTGTACGAAAAGATAGTTAGCTCAGCGCTTGGACAACACTTTCTTTTCAAGGTAAATTGCATATGTAGTCCCTACTTTGGCAATAGTAGCAATCGTCTTCTTAACAATATTGATCAATTTAATACAATACCAAATATGCCCTTAAAGCTATCGCAGTATATTTTTAATAAGAGACTTATTATTTGTGAAATATTTCTCTATATAAAATGTACGTCGAAGTTCCATAAAAAGAAATGAGTAATCACAAGAACACTTTGTGGTTCTCGAGTTTGCTCTATATTGTTTTAATAGACGTCTTGCAAATCCTCGTTAACTAAGGAATAAACATTGGAACCTTTCTTACAAGTTCTTCCTTTCGGCAGTTTCACTTTTGGGTCTAACTCACAAGCTTCGAAAAGTAGTTCCATAATTTTAAAAGGATTACCACCTCGTACATATCTACATATAGATTAAGCCTTATTTCAATAAAATTCAAGATCCAAAACATTACAATATTTGTTATCGAAAAGATTGAAAGATATTTATCACATGCATGGAAATCATTTTGATCTTCAAATTTTGTCATTCTTGAAAATCTTATCTCAATGGATAAGTTGTAACACTATGACAATGCACTTTTGTATTTTTGTCTTTAAACTTTATGCCAATTACATATTTAAAAGCATAAAATTCACCAAAATTCTTCGTGTCTATCTTCTTAGAGATCAAATCTTAATTTTCCCTATTGTTTAAGCGTGATCCCATCTTTGGATGTGAAATAACATTGTGCAATGTTTGGCTTAATTCTTAAAGATGGAAATTACAATGTGTCAATATACAATTTGCATCAATTAAATATGGTAAGTGCAGTATAAATAATGCTTATTTGAAACGGAGAGTATTAAGTATACGATAAAGTACAATGAACTTGAATTGACATATGGTAGATATATTAAAGTTGAAGATATTTATCAACATAGTTATCACAACGAAAGAGTAACATTTTTAAATAATTTGATTAGTTTTAGGATTTCACCAGACGAAATGCTTTTATATTATTTCCATGAGAAGATGACTTGCAGAAAGATAATTTTAAATAGAAGACCTAAAATTAGGATTGGATGTCTGGCGGTTCAATCCGAATATTTCAATATATGGAACCATTCATTACACTTTGAGTATTTCGTAAATAGGAGAAATCGGGTCTTGTAATTACTGGAATCGAACCCGAAACCAATTGATCAATTTGACTTGATGTTCAGTTTTACTCATAACCTTATTTGAAAAATCGTGTGTTGACAATACAAATTACCTTCTCGGTATCTATTAGAATAGAAGAAATCAAATATATCACAAAATACATATTTCAACACCTTCTTAATCTATTGAAAATATGTTATCAAATAACATCCAATATCAAGTATAATAGCATGCTATATCATACTTGAAACTTGCGAACTTGCTACTTGCTCGGTCGGATCATTGGATTGGAATAAATTGTAAAGAGGAAAAAAAAAAAAAAAAAACCTTATAAAAACTACAAATTTGGTTCTAGAGTCGAGTACTCGGTTGAAGAATCGGAAACTCCATTTTTTATTCGAAGATTCGTTGCAATTTAAATGTCCATCCCTACCTGAAACCTCCCACCTCCTGCTTTTCTATGTAATTTGACTATTTCTAAGGCTTGTCTTGTGCATTTTTTTAACTGGAGATGTTGGCATTTGGTCTGCTGTAGAGGCGTAATTGGAAGTATCAAATGGTATCTACAACCTACTTTAGTAGTTTTTCTTCTTCCCCCCCTTTTTTTTCCTTCTAGTTATTATTTTTATTATTATTATTTTGGAAGCCAAGGAATCCACATTTGTCGAGAGTTACTTTATTTATTTATTTTTGGGAAGCTAAGGAATCCACATTTCTCAAGATCTTAGCACGAGACCCTATTGATGAATATGACAAGCAAACAGAAAATTCCGAATAGTCCAGAGTCACATCTTTTTTAAACTCGAGAGTTAGAAAATATTTATTTGTTACATGGGCTATGATACATCGCTTGAGGCTCTAGTGGCATTTAGAGCTCGTTTGACATGATTTTTGTTTTTGCTTTTTGTAGAAGGACTTTTGGAGGAAGTTTAATTTTTATAATGTCCCGAAAGTTTTATAGAATAAAATTATTGTCCTATCTGTTATATTTTTATAATTATGGAAAGTTACGGACTAAGGTAAAATAGTACTAAATTCAATACTATTTTGGGTCAAAAAATAATTTTTGATAGAGTGATAATTAGTAAATCAATATTGAACTCTTTTTGTAGCTTGTAATTAATTAAAAGTTTTTGACTCGAGAAAAGTTAATTCGAATGAGCGAAGCCTAATTTCAAAGAAGCTATCATTAATTTGTATTTGATTAAGTTGGTTATTCATCGGCAGCCACTTGTGATGATATAAAATTTTAATCCTTGGATTAGAATGAAAGATTGATTAACTATGCTAATTTAATACAATTTACACATTGTTTTATTATTTGACTAGAAAAATATATATTTAATATATGTTTACTTAAATTCTTATCAACTTTTTCCAAAGCTGTCCTGATTCAAATTCTAGTACAACAAGTCCTCCTCACTGTTTTCTAATATATATATATATACATAAAGAAATATTATGGAGTATATCATTTTGTCATATATATTTTTAGAGTAGCTCATTAAGTTGCCCGAATGTAATGAATTTGGTAATGATTTAAAATTTAAAAAACGTGAGTCGTCACAATTTTTGTTTGAAAAGTAATTTTTAAAAGCAAGTCAAATTGAACCAGCTTTTTCTAAATATGCTTTTAACTATCAGAAGCACTTTAATAAAATTAGCCAAATGAATTCAAAAGTAACTTTTGAATTTCAAAAGCTCCTTTTAACTTTTCAAAAGTCATGTCAAACAAACCCTTAGATCAATACGTTATTTAGAATACTTAAAATTTATCGCTCATGGCACCCAGCTTTGGTCTTGGTCCACTTGATGGTCTTGTGATGTCTTAGTGGAAGTGAATAACATAAAATTTAAATGATTATAAATCGTGGATTCTACAAAATACGTTAATAACATTAATTGTTATTCTACATAACTTGTGGATAAAAAGTATATCACTTCATAGAACCTGATAGGCTGATACAGTGATTTTAAAGATGAAAAGATTATCTTGTCACTAAAAACTATTAACACATCATAAGAATATTATTTACATCAAACCAAACAGTGATCTCCATTTATCGAACAAAGTAGAAATGAAATAACGTTTCATTCTTACTTGGCAACATCACCATCCTGGTTTAGATCACTTCCTTAAGATGCAGCAACCATGGATGCTCCTGTCCTTAACATTGCTTGCTCCGTACTTATTGCAGCAGGATTACAAGCACGCAACATTTTACATACATCGTTTGTTTCCAAAAACTGCTCGGCATTGACAAGGATAGCAGGGGCATACTTGAAAACCTGTCTCTTACACTGCCAGAAAAAAATAATAATAATAATAAATAAATTGATAGTAAGCTAATCGAAGAGATTAAATTGAATCCATAGCATTAGCCTCTCACTTATAACAAATTTTCACGCCCCGAGAGATTATTTACAAGTGCAGATAATACCGGACCTCAACCATCAGACTAAGAGCACGTTTGGCTAAGCTTAAATGCTTACATATAAGTAAATAAGTGAGTAGAAAGAACATATCCAAGATAAATGTTTTAAGTATTTATATCTGATACTGATGGTATGTTGGAATATAAAAAGGTTTTGGCCGGGAAAAATACTCGAGGTCTGGAAATAGTTCATTTTGTCAACTAAATGTAACAGCTCTGGGAATCGTTGTTCAACTAACAGAGGCTCCCCCCCACCCTTTTTTTATGGTTCTAACCATAAATAATGTGATGTGGGTAATCATGTTCTTAGAAAATACTATAAAGAGTTGAAGTACTGAATTTCAGCATGTATTCATCAGACTTAAATAATTAGGCATAAAAAAGGGCTTCTTACTTTCAGGGATGTACCATTCAAGAGGATGAACAGAGCCTATGTCATGTCAAATTACCAAGCCTAATTTAGCCCCTACTCGGTGTAGATTAAAAGTTGATTAAAATCTCAAGTCAAAGTCGCCAATTAATTTTAACCGTACATTTCACGGGATCCACAACTTTTCAACTACACTTTCCATCAACTTTTATCAAAATCTATTAAAAATCTGAGGGATAAAATAATTTACCATGGTTCAAGCACATCAATTTCAGTGATGGAACCTTGGAGATGAAAAGATTTTACAAATGCCTAGATATCCCATAGAACTGTTCTTACCTTATTGACACGGTCTTTCATAGCACCACATGCCTTCATAAGCAGCTCGATTATTTCTAACTGAGAAAACAAAAGAATATAAAAATAATAAAGAGCTATGTTTCATAGAGCTAAAACTAAATGCTGGGTGATTTATTAAGAGAATGATGAAGGTTTATTAAGGACCAGTTAAAAAACTTATAAAGCTTGCCGGCCTACTCATCATTGTAAAACAGAGTTGACAATGTGAGGTTTCCCTTCACCTTGTACATTAGAGCCCTGTTTGGCACAAATTAAAATCTAGATTTGAATCTAAATCAAAGTCAACAATTAATTTAACCATATATTTTATAGGTCCCACAATTTTTCAACCATACATTTCATCAACTTCGATTAATATATTTAAAAAATCTAATTTTAATCACCATCAAATAGGGGCTAAATATCTCAATTAAACTCCTGAACTGAAGTCAAAGGGATCTTGCCCTCAACATAGGTTACAGAAACACACCCGACCGATTCTTGTCATTCTTGTTCTCTAATATCATGATAAAAGCCCATGGGTCGACTGCATCATTAGAAAATCGGCTTGACAATGTGAGATTTCCCTTCAACTTATAGATTTCACATCTCAATTTTACTTGCGTGATCTGGAACGTGCTAACAAATAACTAGTCCTAGTAAAAATAAGACACCAATCAGCTGAGGACTCAATATTACCTGTGTGTGGGGGTCCTTCAACTTCATTAAGGCCTCTGTGACAGCTTGATGGCACAAATTACATTTATCGTTAACAAGATGCTGAGAAATGGAAACTACTTTTTCGCAAAGGTCAACCTTCCGACAGAATTCTCCTGGTTGCATTGAAGAAACCTCTAAGAAAAAGAGTGGGACATAATAGTCCATCAAAGTAATGCACTGCAAGGACAAGACTCACAAGAGTCAGAATAAGATCGTCATAATTTGAAATTGGCTGTCACTGAAGGTCTACTCACATTTAAAAAAATGTTCATGTTTTGGTCATATATATATATATATATAATGGAAGAATGGAATGATGGCATTGAATTTCAATACATAATTATCACTTAATCAAAGTTCTATATATACCTGTTTCTTGAATGTTGGGATCCTAAAGCAGGATTTATTAAGGATGCCAATAATCTCTGTTTGAGTTTTGTTCTCTGAAAGGTAATTAAGAGCCTCAGTAGCAAATTCTTCACATAATGTGCACGGTTTTTCATTCTTGGTAACGTCATCCATGTATTGAGCTTCTCCCTCAAGCAGCTTATTATTTGTCTGTGCGGCTGTTAGAAGCAGAAGGAATTAGTATTTTACAGCAATGTGATCAGTTTTGCGTGAATTATCAAGAAAAGTCATAGTATTTTCAAGCAGATCCAAACATGCATTGTCAAGTAAACAAACTCTGTGTTCAGGCTGAGACTGAGCACATATGGCTAAGCTTGAAAAGTTCACTTATAAGTAAATAAGTTAGTCTAAAATATGTAGGTTATACTCAAAATTGAAAATAAGTTACTAATTTTGATACTAAGTAAGAAACTCCTTTTACTTTAAAGTAAGAACAAATTAGCTTATCCAAACATGTTTCGAAATAAAAATGATACTTAAAAGTAACTTCTACTAATTTTTTTGCTCAGCTAAACGTGTCTCGAGGTGTCTACTCTCATAGTGGTAAAGAAGTACCTGAAGTAATTACCCGTCCCACAGTGAAGTGATTAGCTGTTTCCAGATCTCTAGCATTGCAGCACCAGCATGTGCTCAGCATAAAAAGAACCAAGAGCACCCTTGTATCCATGCTGCCAAAACAGATACTAGGTCAACCCAAAACCATAAAATGGCAATACAGTAAGCAAGAAAAAGAAATGTCCAATACTTTAGCATTATATTGAAAAAAGGATGAATATTACATATGCAACAAAGATTATTCCTTAAAGGATAAAATAAAGAAAACAGAAAAATAAAACAACTTTCAGATGGGCAATCATCAATCTTTTTTGCTGAAATATATTCATAGTGCTTAGCAGACGTGGAATAATACTCCGTTTTCTCCTAGTGAAACATATTATGTGATCTTTATTCACGTTAACGGGTTTACGGTAATAAAACTCAATTAAAGATAATTTTTTTAAAACAGAAGACCCCACTATGTGGCCAAACTAACCATAAGAATCAGAACTACAAACCAAAGACAACATACTCGAAAGCAGATGTGCAAAAATGCAAGATAGTTATAAATCACATGATAAGCAAAGTAAATTGTAACAACTACTAAGCACACACCTTCCTTTTACAAGCTAGATATAAGGGTGGGTTATTCCTTGTGTGTTTGTAAAATTGTAATTCAAATATCAAACTCAGACAAAGAAATATAAGTTTTTGCATTTAGCTTTTACTCAATATCAAGAGGCACAAGCATCAGC